TGAAATGTCTTCATGGGGAGAAAACAGCAATGAACAAAGTATAAATATGATATACCTCTGACTTGGAGAGGCCCAATATTCAAAATTCTAATAGTAGAGGAAGATATTTAAATAGACTCGTACTTGTATAGTGATTTGACCCTTAGACCCACACAACCACAACACATGTAGTAAAAATAGGCTTTCTTGGGTGTTCCTCTGCATTAATACATGTCTCTGCCCAGTCATTTAATGGTTCAGGCTTATCATTTAAAATTGTCTTGCAGACATGGAAATAATTCAATGAACAAGAGTGTGGCAAATAGGGTCAGGATATGAAAGTGGTCTTCTGATATATCTGAGTAACAACCATGAAGACCAATAAAGCAGGGATACAAAATGGTGGAAACTGACGCTATGAGTCAACTTAATTTTGTAACAATAAAAACAGGAGTTCCGCTATATGAACTTTGAAAAAAATCAAACTCTTGGAATAAACTGTTTTGTAAACAGAAGATAAAAATGTGTTTTTTTTTAAGAGGTCATTACATTTACGAGGAAAAAACAAAAAACTAATATATATTAAAAAGTAAAAGAGAATAACAAGAAAAATTCAGAAAAACTAGATACAAGTTTGAGAAGTAAATAAAAAAGTAAGAAGGAACAAAAATATAAAAACTGAAAATAAGTAAAATACATGAAGGACAGAGTTTTAAGTAGTGCTATTCACAATAGCAAGGATATAGAATCAACCTAAGTGCCCATCAACAGTGGATTGAAAAAAGAAAATGTGGTACATATACACAATGAAGTACTATGCAGTCATAAAAAAGACTGAAATCATGCCCTTTGCAGAAACATAGGCGGAGCTGGAAGCTGTTATCCTAAATGACGTAACATAAGAACTGAAAATCAAATACGATATGTTACCCACATAAGTGGGAGCTAAATATTGAAAATACATGATCATAAAGATGGGAACAACAGACAAGGGGGATCACTAGATGCAGAAAGGGGAGAAGGAGGCATGGGCTGAAGAATCCCGTTAGGTACTACACTTATGGCCTGAGTGATGGGTGTTTTGGGACCCCAAAGTCTCAGCATCAAGTAATTTACCCATTTAATATACCTGTATATGTACCCTTTAATCTATAATAAAAGCTGAAAAATTTTAAAAAGTAAAAAAAAATTATTAAAGAAAATTAAAATATTAAATGTGTGATATAAAATATGTAACCAATATTGCTATCCAAAGTAGAGTGTAGAATGAGTGAATCAGTATCAATCTATGTCAGACAAATAGAATAACTATTTAAAAAATTAGCCTGACTTGAAGAAATATGAGACACATGACACAACATCTTCTGATTAACTCTTAAAACTCCAGAAATAAAAAGGGGATTAAATTATAAATTCTCCATGTTATTCATTTGAATAAATATTTTCTATATAGCTTTTAATTAAATAAATTAGAAGTCACATCAAATTTTGTGAAATAACTGAATCCACTGAATTTTAACTTAGGGCATTCATGAAAACACAGCATTCCTTGGTTTATTTTTTGCAGTGATGGAGATAAAAGCAAAGTTAACAGCATTTACCGTATGAGCCTCAGTCAAAGATAAGATCTAAGAAATTTCCATTACACCAAGTTAAAATTAATATGTGAATCTTACAACAAAATGTTTTAAGTAATTAAAAAATTTACAGGTAATTTTAAAGGGTAGTGCAGTCTTTATCTTTTTTGTTTGTTTAATGTGATTCGACGTAAAATTTCAATTGAAAAATAAATAGTTCTCCTAAAATCATTAAAAAAGCAAGCCTATAAAATATTCTGCAGGTCATTAAAGGCTGAAATATTTTAATGAAATAGTTTTCCTCGCAAGACCTCAGGATAAATACCTTAAAGTGCAAAGTTACAAAGTTGAGTAATTTTCTCAGTTAAAGTCAAACAAACCTTAGCAAACTCATTAACAAACCAGCAACAAGAATGGAGACATTAACTTTTACTATGATTGACATAAACTTTGAAGCAAAAATAGTATAAAGATAACAACAACATATTTTACCAAATTTTTAAGAGTGAGATGATTCTTTCTAATTTAGAAAACACAAATAGGACTCAGAACAGTAAGCTCGATTTCCTTTTTTAATATCAAATAATAATTTCATTATGATTTTAAATAAACATATTACAGATTAACCCTCAGTCCATGAACAAATCTGATAATATTTAACTTGAAAAGCACCACCTCCTGGAATATGAGTTTTCTTTGGTAAGTAAACTATCTAAGGACTATGCTGACATGGTATCAGCTCTGACTTCTCATAGTGTAGCGTGGGAGTCCCAACAGAAACTGCATTTCCCAAGGCATTACCATTGACAGACTTTCAGGGGCTTTTAAACACATTGAATCTGCAGTGAAAATTTTGGAGACAGATGACTCCTATTTAAATACAATTTGAATAACTCTATAGCAGTAATGAATGCCTATACTTGTCCCTGGGAAATATGCCAGGAACAGAAGCAGGCATCTTCAATCTGAATTCTACCGGCTTCTTGCTGTAAGACAAATCTGCCTAACTAGCCCATGAATAACTTTTCTCTAAAAGGAATATTTATAAAGGAGGTTGCTATAGCTTAAGTGTCCACAGCAAAACTCACATTGGAAACTTAATTCCCAGTGCAGCAATGTTGGGATGCAGTGCCTGTACAAAGTGGTTAGATCTTTAAAATAGATTAAAGTCTTTCTCATGAGACTGGATTAGTTCTTTCAAGAAAGGATAAATTCTGGGTAGAATGGGTGTCAGAAAGCAAGGTTGCCTCTCCTGTTGGTCCTTTTTGCATTCCAGACTCCATTTTCAGGTCTTTGCCATCTTATGGTGCAGCACGAAACCCTCACCAGAAGCCAAACAGATGCCTATGCCGTGGTTCTTGGGCATTTCAGCCACTTGAAGCATAAGCCAAATAAACTTCTTTTCTAGTCTCTGTTAGCCTGTTATAGCAACACTAAATGGACTAAGAGTTCTTACAGTGCTTGATTTAACAAATACTAACAGCCTGTAAAAACACACATTTTAGGTTTATGTTTACTTATTTTGATAATCAAATATTTCATTGAACAAAATAGATTTATATTAATTTCCATTCATCCTTATTTTTAGCACTGTATCCATCAGAAAAGTATGTTCAATTTATGATTAATGACTTGGTCCAGGCAATTATTAGGTTATAACCCTGAGGATCTTTGTGGTGGTCATTTTAATAATTTTGTTTTATATAATTTCCATTTGTATAAAAACAATATTTACCATATTTTATCAAACCACAGAAGTACAATGAATAGAATGTATGCTCAAAACACAAGATACACGAGAGAGAAGGATTTAAAATAAACATGCACACACAGGTCCACACACGTCTGGTTTATGTGTATATTAAACAAAAATGGCATGTTAGACAATGTGTAATAAATAATATCTATGTCATAATAAACATTTTTCTCGATGCTAAATGTAAAGTTATTAGTCTTGAACTTATGTTAAATTAGTAGCTATGTGTGTCTTACTAGAGATATACACCAAATAAAACCATACAGGATATATCAAAATAAATAAATAGTCAAAATGTGCCCTAGATATTGAATATAGAAAATAGGGAAGTTTTTTATAGAAGGCAGAATATATTAGTATCTTAAAAAGAAATAATAAAACATAGAAATAAGCACAATTTACTAGTAAATAACTGTATATCAAAATATACATAGTAAACCTATCAGTAATTTAAGATATAGGACAGAAATATAGTTAATAAATTTTAACTTAACATCAGCCTAGCACAAATTAGACTGAAAGGAGATAAAGTATGTGTGCATATTTTTAATACCTGGGTTCAATTATCATTTTACAAGTTGAACAGATAGTGACTAAATTCTCAAATGATCAGTCAATTGAATATATTATATAATCAGAAACAACAAAGGAAATAAAAATTCATTTCCTAAAATGTTAAAAAATACACCTTTAAAAAGTGGTTCCAAAATATAGTGATAGATTTGCTTTTATAATTTAAATAAAAATTTTTATAACTTATTAAGATCTCAGAAGACAGGCATAGAGCAATAACAGAAATGAATCTCTGGCTAGGGTTATGCTATAAATGGTATATTATAACAAATCATTCATTTGGTATAAAATATTTGAGAAAAAGAATAAAAATTCACTGTGATAAAGAATAGATAAAAACAAGTATAAAATGAGGGATTATTTAACTGGGAAAGCAAAACATGAGAATGATACGAATATATGATAGATTAAAGATTTAAGCATGAGGCTTAACACCAAAACACTCTAGAAGAAAACCTAGGTAATACCATCCAGGACACAGGCATGGGCAAGGAATTCATGACTAAAACACCAAAAGCAATGGCAACAAAAGCCAAAATAGACAAATGGGATCTAATTAAACTTCAGATCTTCTGCACAGCAAAAGAAACTATCAGTAGAGTGAACCGACAACCAACAGAATGGGAAAATTTTTTTGCAATCTACCCATCTGTCAAAGGGCTGATATCCAGAATCTACAGAGAACTGAAAGAAATTTACAAGAAAAAAGCAAACAACCCCATCCAAAAGTGGGCAAAGTGTATGAACAGACACTTTTCAAAAGAAGACATTTATGCAGCCAACCAACACATGAAAAAAGCTCATCATCACCAGTCATTAGAGAAATGCAAATCAAAACCACATTGAGATATCACCTCACACCTGTTAGAATGGTGGTCATTAAAAAATCAGGAAACAACAAATGCTGGAGAGGATGTGGATATTTGGAAAATATAAGCAATGCCATTTGTAACCGTTATTGTCTAAGTTGTGCACATATATATGTGTGTATATATATATGAGATAAAATCTTACTTTAAAATGTAGTATTTACATTGCAGAGTGCATTGCTAGTGGGATGTTTATAAGTACTTCTAAATACATATTTAGTTACCTGTGGGTAAATAAATACTAACCTGCAGTCAAAAGTGTGTCCAGGTCCATCAACACAAATCCCTCCATTAAGACAAAGGGCTGAATTAAGTTCACGCTTAGCACAATTATCGATGCTTTCTTCACAGTATGTACCAGTGTACCCATGTTGGCAAATGCAAGTAAATCCATGTGCCGACTTCTGACAGAAGCCTTCATTCATACAAGGGATTAATGTGCAGTCCTAGATTAAGAAATAGAGAACCAAATTTGATGATTAGTATAAGGCTGACCATTTTAATCAAATTACATTTTTATTTAAACATAATCTAAAAAACTGATGTGTAAGCTTGTTTGACATTTCCTTCCTTTAGTAATTGAAATATATGTTTTTACTAGTAAGTGGGTTTTTTTTTTTTTTTTTTTTGTCACCAGAAAGAACCCTTCAAATATTCTATTGCTGACTAGGGAAAAAATCATTATTAATCTTTGTAGAAGTATGTAGTATGTCAGAGAACTATCCCTGCCCCCAACAATGGTGCTAAAGCAAATTTCCTCTGCAGAGAATGACAGGAATTCACTTTTATTCACACCCTTAGTGTCTCCAGTGCCTCTCAGTTTTCCCAAAACAGCCCCAGTTCAGCTCTGCTCTCCTAGAGTAATCATTAATAGTATTTCCATTATGTTTCAAAGGAATTCTGGGTTTAATCACATACTTAGAACAAACATTTCACATTGGATTTGTATCCATTTAAAATACCTAATACATCTATGATATCTGAAGTTTGAATTAAATCATAACCTTTTAATTACTTTTCCACATGCATTTTTCCAACTGTATGTCCAACATTTCAGATACATATAGCTGCAGCAGTGCAAATGTCTTGTAGACTTAGAGGAATCTGGATAATACCTATTAAGTTTAAAAATATTTTAAAATTTCTCATAGTTTTACTTACTAATTCAACAAATGGTTATTTATTGTAATGACATTGATGCCCAAAATGGTGATGATAACCCCCACCTCATATGGTGTGCCATGAGAATTAAGTAAAATAATGGCACTGTGTCTTAAACATCATATGTGATCAGTAAATATTATCTTTCTTTCGTCTCCACTATGAAGGCCAATGGCTCAGTCAGCCTCTATTTCTATCCTTTGGCACTTAATTTGAACAAGAAATATGTTTCTGTGTATATTTAGCTTCTACCATATCACACCATATGCTTTTAAGTTTACAGTGTAGGGTTTATATATATACCTACATTGTGGAAAACACATGTCATAGTACCATAAACATGGTATGACATTAGTTTTCAAAGCGTTAACTGAAAAGATTTGCACACACACTTCTGAGAAATAACTTATGGAGAGTGCTGACATCATTAGTAAAACTGTTTTTCAATGAGCAATCTAAAGATAATACCTTGATGAACATAAACAAATTCGAATCATTTTGCACTTTAGGTCTTGAGTTCTTACATTCTCAAGGATAACTGCATATGCAAACATGAAATACTTCTTCAGCATTTTACCTTGAAAAGTGATAGTTTCCTAGAATTATTATTCATTAATTGATGTGCTTACAAATATTTAGTGACTTTTAAGAAGTTTTAACAATTAAAACTCATACTGAAAAGACTATTACGGAAGATTTTCCATTAGTGTCATATATCCATTGGAAAATTAGATGTTGTATCAGAGAGGTTAATTAGTGTCATCCTCAATTAAAAATGAATTGTGCACTTCAGTATAATATTCCAGTCATGCCTAGAACCTAGATGGTGATCTTGTACACCCTCTCAAGTGTTAGAACTAAATGTATATTTTTATAAACAAATGCTATCATATTTGTTTCACTTTTGCTGAAAATGTGATCTTGTTAAGGAAAACCAAGGACGCATAGTAGTAGACTATCCTGTAGGTATTGTAGTTTTATTTACAGAACAGAAAAGCAGAGTTCCACAGGGAGTGGCATGGAAACATGTTTCTCTCTTGGCTCTATTTCTGGATATGTATAGAATGATTTATTAGAAAGCATTACATAAACTAATTGAATTCTATCTCCCATGGGAAGATAGGGATAGTCTTTAGACTGCCAAAAGTTCTGTCTCCAGGGTTTCAAGAATCTTTTACTAAATTAATTAGAAAGCTTAATGGGAAATACAAAGGCAATTTCTTTTTAGAGAAAATCAAATTGTCATTTAAAGTTCTTGATCTTTCCTGGTTTAAAAATTTAAAAGGATGCCTTTTCTTCTGTTCATCATCATTTATATTGCTTTGCTATATTTTATTTAATATAATAAAGTGCTTCCCCAAAGAGATCACTAAAGTAATTTCAGAAAATAAAATAGATAAAAGGCTGAGTATTCAGAGAAAGAGATGGAAGCCGGGAGGGATCCTGCAGATCAGGGTAATCTAGACAACTGAGCTTGACCCTAGTGATACATTCATTCAACTTGTACTGAAAATGTTATGCCAGGAAATGTACAGTAGGAACATGAAAGGAACAGGGCAGTATTATATTCATTGTGAAATTCTTAGACAGGGCAAAGTACTCACTGGGCTAGTAAATGTGACAGTTATCTCACTGACTCAGTGTATCCTTCAATGCAATGAAGTTGACACTCAATATCAACCATCACAGCAATTTTGCTCGTGTTGTTGCCTATCCATCCCTAACAGAAACTGTATTTTTCCACTCCCAAGAAATTTCACATACAACACTTTGCCCTATATTGACCTGAGTGCTCTTTTCAGGTAGTACTGCTTATTTTTCTCCATTGCTCTTGTCTTTTTAGCCTTGTAATACAGGTCATCAATCTCCTTCAGATGATGTTATCTAAGCATTTTAGCACAGAGAAAGATAAAATAAATAGGTCAGCTAGTAAGAAAGATAGAGAGGCCATTAGAGAGATATGTAGATCACTTTCCATGTGGATCTGGTCAGGTAGGAAGTATATCTGATTATTATTAATCCCAATTTCTTACAGATACCCAATAATATGCAAGATTTACAGAATGAATGATCAAAACTACACTTGGAGTACACTTAATGTATTAGTGAAACATGACAACTTTTTAAAAATTTCATTAAACTATAATAATTATTGTAGATGGCATTGGCACAAATGAGAAAATAAGAAAAGAAACAGGATAGTTCAAGAACTAACCCATATATAGAAACCTATTACATGGAAAGTGAAACAAACCAAATCAAGAGAGAACTAACCCTTTGATAAATTTTTTTGAAAAAATGATTATACTTAAAAGAAACCATTAAGTTAGATTCCCACCTTTTATTAATCATAATGTATTCACTGTGACTTAAATAACTAAAATGATCATGAATTCTATAATTTTAGTAGATGAGAATATAAAAATATTTTTAAAATATTACAGTGTGAAGAATTTCTTTGGAGGGAGGCAAAGTCCAGTCAGAAAGAAAAAGGTAAAGAAAAATTAGAAAACCTCACAATGCATAAGTTGTATAAAGTAAGAGTGTCCAAAGTTGATAAAATATTTACATTTTTCAGAAACTACTGAATTTTATCTATAATTTAAAACAATACAGAAAAATCAAAAAATAAAGGACAAGTAAGCAAAAAGAAAAAGGGCTCTTAGCAGGCAAGGCACAAAGAACTACAAATGGCAAATAATAATATGGAAAGATGCTCAATCCTGATAGTAATCTGGGAACGTGGAAATTAAAATAATGAACAATGGCATTTTCCTCATGAAATTAGTCAACACTTTGTAAAAAGTTATTTTATTTACAGGATCTAGGTAAGCTGCTATGCCTGTACTCTCATCAGGTAAGTGTGGCTCTTAATGTTTATTTGGAATACTTTATAGCTATTAGAATGAATGAGTCAGGACTCTTTGCATTTTAATAGAATGATTCCTCAGAGATACTAAATAAGACAAAACTCACTGAGCAAAATGAGTTTGTTTTTAATGTTAAAATAACAATATTAGTACAAAAATCTAGACATACTTACGTGGAATTTTTTTAACAATTGTTCTCATAATGCTGGATGGGCATGTATGCATGCATGCATACATATGTAAAAATGTCTACTGATATTTTTAATTCAAAAATAAGAGTATGATACTTGTACTATCAAGAAATATGGTTTTAGAAATTTCTTCAGGCAATACGCCTTTGCAGTAATGCAAACAAGGTGTATGGTTCATTCATTCTCTGCCAGTAAATTTATTTATTACATTTCCTTTTCCATATCAATAATGGCTTTCACTATCCAGAACCAAACGATAATAATATCAACAAATAATTATGGTTTTTAAAACTGTATGTCAGAAAATGTGCTAATTGTTTTCATGCATTATCTCATTTAATTCTTACAATAACCTGAGGTAGTTACTGTGATTACTTTTATTGAACAGTTAAAACAATTTCAAAATAAAAGTAATTTGTCTGAGAACATACAGCAGCAATATAGAACTTACAGCAATATTAGAGATTCAATCCTGGTTATCCCTGAATGCATTTAACTACTCCATCACCCCTATCTGGAAGGGCTACTTACTGAATAGCTACTGTATTTCATGTGCATTCCCACACATGACCCTGTGATGTCAGAAATAGCATAGCTATGTTTTACTAATGAGGGAGTGAGACACAAAGAATTTAAATAAAATACCCATGGTTTCACAATGGCAAAGGCATTTAATTTGTATGCTTCCTCCCTTTACCATGTTATTGTCCATCAGAAATGATTTGGAAGAACTCCCCATTATTCCAAAAAGCTCACAAAATTCTCATCCACCAAGAATGGTCACAATCTTCAGTCAACCAACATGTCTCAACAAATGAGCTATTCCATATAAAATACTACGTGCTAATCACACGACATGAGGCCCCTGAAGACTGAAAGACATATACTGAGAATTTAAAGGTGTTGTCTACTTCTTTGTATATACATCCAGTAATTATATTCTCCTTGGGATGTCTAAATTAATTGAATCCTATGTCATCCCTACAGATTCATAGTTACCTCTGTCTCCTAAGACCGGGAGGATGAGACAGATTGTAAAACTTAAGCCATCTGAGCAACTGTTGATAATGGCTACTTCTAGAATTTAGTTTGGTGAGGTGGTGGGGGTAGGGAGGGGAATTGTGGAATTCTGTAATAACAAGAGACAAAGAACGGAAAAGTGCAGAAAAAAATGCTGTGATTCGTAGTTTTGTTTGGAGCAGCCAAAGAATTACATAGAGGAATGGTGAGAGAACAGTTAAATTATTAACAACTGTGGAAGAAATGACTTTGAAACCTACAGCAAGCAATTGGATGTTTCTTTTAAATTAAATTTTTGTCATATAACTTTAATAAAATTATAAGACTTACATGAATTTCGATCTTACATTGTACGCTAGTCCCTTCCGCATCACATGAACATGGATATTCATTAACAAGGCCTGTGCACCTGAAACAGAATGAAATTTTCAAATAAGTAGATGTTAAAGCATAACTTCAAGGGATTTTCCCCATTTAAAATTTTCTTTCCTAGTTCAGGTGAAAAAAAGCACTCCCATGAGCAACAGAAAGCAGAGTTTATTCCTGGGTTTCTTATCCTTGAAGGTGACTGGACTGAAAAATCGGATCAATTTTCATTTTTGCCATTTTCCCCATGGCAATGAAAGGAAGGAACAGTTTTAAAAGATAAAAAGTGTGTCTAGGGCTTATGTGAGAAACTGAAGTTAGCTACGGCCAGGCTGCATTGCAATGAGCTACCAACCTGCATTCTCCTTCCCCTGCTTACAAAGTAGGTGGCAGGATTAGAAAATCAAAGTGACGCGGAAGCAAGCAGCATGGTGCATCTGTGTTACATTCTTCTTTGCCACCTGCATCTTCTAGAAATACCTTCACTCTAGATGTGCATTAACTAATATTTTATCCATGACCAGGAGAGTTATTATACAGATTCATAGAGTCATCAAATACCTTTCATACACATAAGTATAAAAGAACCAGTTTACTTTGGAACACTTTAAATACTAAGCATGTTGTATTATCTCTCCATAGAGCAAATAATAGAATGTTTCATCATCTTACCTGCTAGTTCTATTAACATGAGCAGTTACCTTTAAGTATATTAAAGTCTAATTAATCCACATTTATTGAAAATTACTTTATGCTAATGAACAGAAATAAAAGAAGGGCAGAGATAATGTATCAGTACATTGCATTAGCTAAAACTGGCAGCATCTGTCATCTTAACTCTACTTAGCTCTTGTTTCATGAAAGAGCATAATTAAAATTATCCTTATCAACTTTCCCTTGACATTAAGTCTTAAATATTGTGAGTTAAATATACTTTCATAAAGCTAATAATAAAAAAATAAAAATAGCTACCTTCCATGTAGACAAGGATTTGAAAGGCAATCATTTGCATTTGTTTCACAATGTGTTCCAAAAAATCCACTCTTGCAGTCACAGGTATAATGATTGATGCCATCAATACAAACTCCATCATGGAGACAGGGCTCTGATAGGCATTCATCTAGATTTATTTCACAATTGATGCCTATGTTGGAACAGACAAGGAAAAACATGAAACCATTTAAATATAAAACTCCAAAGTTAGTTCACTATGGTAAACATCACCGAGAAATAAAGACCTCTCTCTATAATGATAATTTGATATATTGTAGCAAAAGTAAACATTTTTCAAGGTCGAACATATTTAGGTCTGTGACCTTTCGGACTACTGATTTAACGTGGATGAGAAAAACAAAGTACAAGCTCAATCTACTGAGGAGATTTGTTTTTAGTGTGATGTTTGTTGAGAATATTTAGTGAAGTAATGAATTACATCAAGTTGTCACTGTGAATACTAATCCATAATGTTTTTGTGATGGTCTTTGTGAGTCGAACATTTATTACCTACAAGAATTAAGAAAGACTTTGAACGTAAATTTGGCTTTATTGAGTCTATTAATGGTCTCTCTGAGATTTCTAAAATGAAATCTAACTGTGGCTAAAATACCTGGGATTTTCAAAGGCCAAGTGGGAATATTTATTAGGCACCTACCATGAACCACCTCTATGCTCAACTAGAGGTACAAAGCTAAAAAATAAACTTCCTATTAACCAAAAAATGTTGTTAGGGAGGCAATATTTACAGATAGAAAACACATAGATAATAACATAAGTGGAGCTTAATGGAAAGCAAGATTGTGTTTCATATGTTCAAAACATCAGGAAAAATTACAGAATCATTGTAAAATTGTTAGAATAATTTCTTTGCCCATTATATCCATTGGTAGCAAGCATCTACTAATAAAAACTAGGATTAAATGAGCACTTATTGGTGTGCCCTGCCCTTAAGGCTTCCTGTGCATTGTTTTAGCTAATGCTCATCAAAGCTATAGGGAGATCTCATTAACCGCAGTTCACTGGTAAGTATTCGGAGAGTAAGCAAAATGTCCAGATTGCACAGGCCATAACAGCAAACAAGAATTTAAATCATGTTTCTTTTCTCTGACTTGTGCTTCCAATCATTACTTTAAATTACCTACCCTGCAGCTACTCTGATATGTGCATAAGTTGCTAAGTTGAGTAATACTGTGGATACCAATTGGAAAACATGGTTCTTGTAACCCCAATACATAATATCTAGTTGTGAATAAAAATAAGTAATAAGCTTATTATAGTGAAGAAGACAATAATGAAAATAGCTGACAGGTAGAGTCCTTACTATGTGCCAGGTACAGTAAATTCAGTTTTATTTCCCACTCATACTCCACGACTAGAGTGAGTTACAGATCCTCTTTACATTGTCTTCACTCTGAGACCAAAGTTAACAAAGCATACACTATCAGAGACATTGACATCTGTGTTCAAGAGGAAAAAAGACACTTCCATTCATATTGGGCTTGGTCATAGGACTTGGGTTAGCCAATAAAATATAAATATAGGTGGCTCTTAAGCCTTTCACCTACAAATCAAGTTATATGACTAAGTCCAACAGAAATGGAATGGGAATGTTTCTCCCCCAGGAAAGGGCAGATATTTGTGACAATAACATTTGGTGCAAGCATAATCGATCAAGCTTCTCACTTGAAAATGAGGCTTACTTATTGGTACATCATAGGTTTATTGGGATGTACCGAACACAACTAGCCAGGGTCTGGTACACATTTAACATTTTATTACTTTCATAATCTTGGTAAAAATATCACAACCACATTGTATTTAATTGGTGATTTGAGAGTTTCAAGACATCACCATTCTAATTAGGAAGATAAGTGAAAAGTCTCTGTATGACTATGTAGAATTCTGGCAGGGTCAGTGCTGAAATTTTTAGTTAAAAAAAGACAGATGGTCAATTTATAACAAAAGTGTGGGGGCAGGGACAGAAACTGTTGAAAGAGTTTGGGACAGGATGCATCCAGTAGTGTTGGGAGATGAGGAGATTTGACAACAGACACTACACTCCGCTGTTGAAATGTTCTCTCCATAAGAGGCAAACATATCTCAATTTAGCTAGAGATAACATCATCAAGGTTATCTTAGGATCAGTTTCTCCTAATGTTTTATTCATCAAATAAAATTGTGGTTGTAATTTGACTTTCTAAGTAGCCTCCAAAGAGGATAAGAATGGAATAACTAGCTAATGTGAACATTTTGGTCTCAATAAACCATTCTCATTTTTAACATTATAGTCCTTCAGATTCACACACATCAACTTTCCTTTTACCTTTCTAACTTCATCTTATATTAATCTCACCCTGACTAGTATCTTTACTTACATTAACCTCCTATGTTCTCTCAAAAGTTTTAGGCATCCTGTTCCTCTAAGACCTTAGTACTTTTGTTCCCTTTCCAAGAAATCTCTTCCAAGTATTTCACAGTTTAGATCTTCAGGTTTTAACTAAAATGTCAGTATCTCAATGAGGACTATTCAACCACACTATACAAATTTGCATTCTCATCTTAATCTACAACCACCATTATCCTATTTTATGTTTTCCTCCTATAGCACGTAATCTCCTGCTAGCTTTCTATGAAGTTTATGCATTTATTTTTCTCTATCTCCATGACAAGCTTAGCTTCATGAAGGCATAGATTTTGTCTGTCTCACTAAAACTGTATACATTCAAATATTTGTTAAAAAATAAATCCTTATCATATTCATGTATGGGAGTTTACGTGTGCTGTGTATGTGTTTTTATATTTTGTTTTACACATTTATTTTTTATCAGAAATCTCGACCTCTTCCCAACCACAAGCAAAGCACTTCTTGAGAATCTGGGGAAACTATTAGTCCTTGCAAAGGTGAGAGTCAGAATCAGCAATGAAGTGATAGTGTTGCCTCTAAGGTGCATAACTAAAGGAGTTGTCTGTGCAGCCAAGGGAAGATATTCAATGGGATCTCTGCTTTATTCCCACATTCAAACAAAGACATGTTTATGTGTGAAAAAAGAAACACAATTATGGAGGGTCTTGGACTTTGCTTCATAATGATTTCCCACAAATAATTACCAACCTATCCAAACTCTAAGTTATTCACCTGTAAACTACGAATCAAAATCTCTCTACTGTAGCATAGTAGAGAGATGGTCATTACCTATATATACATCTCTAACAGTACATATGCTACCTGATTATTATAACAACAAGATTATTTATCTTCTTCATAGGATACCAATGCTTTGACATGACACATCTAAAAGAAATAATAATACTTATTAGACATGATTAAAGCCTTGGCTAAAGTCTTAGTCTCCGTTTTTTGCCTACACTGCCTTAAATACCAGGTATTTCTTACTGCTCATTAATTTATCTAACGCATATTTATGTGTCAGGTACAGTTTTAGGCTCCTTGCATAGTTCCTTTCACCTGGCATGCATCACTGCCACCTCCATCAAGGCATAGCTGATGATTTCCATGCAATCTAATGATTTCATTATGGACTTCATTTGACAAAAGAGCCATGATAAATCTCTTTTTCTTTTGGTTATGTCTAACATATTGTTCTTTCTGCCCACCCTCCTGCCTGCTTTGGTGCTACAGCAATAGTTTATGTTTGAAATAATTTTCAGTTTGTGGTTATAAAATTAGAATTTTTGATTTCATTAAAGAGGCAGTCAATTCCTTTTTAAAGCAGAATGGATCATTACCTGTGAGATTGGGGCTTTTCTATGATCCCACTTAGGAAAAAAATCCTCTTCACTAGTCTTTCTCAACATCTGCCTACAGATTGAATATTTTAATATTGAAAATTACAGAATCCTTTCAGAATAAGACCATTAAAGTTAATAAACTGAGAGCTATGATTAGTAAAACATTTCCATGCATCCACAATATTACAATAGAAAAATATATATAATCCTTTTATATAAATGAACATATATATTATGTGTAGTATATACATATATGTGTGTGTGTGTGTGTGTGTGTGTGTGTGTGTATGTCTGTCAATCAGCTGTCTTTTTTTTTTTTTTTTTTTTTTCTTACTTTCTCTTCATTCCCTCTTTACCCAACTTCTTCTCATTGGTCAGCGTTACATATTTGGACAAGTTTTTCAAAGTCACTTTCCTGATTTTTAGTTCTTTTCATTTCACATATAAGAGCCTCAAAACATAGTTTAAGAATTCTCCATTTCCTCCTGAAATAAATGTGATTTCCCTAGCCTAAAGCCAAATTCTTTGTTCCAGTCTTTCCTTTATTGTCACTGCTCTGATATTATCAGCTACTCTTATCTATTGGTTTATCAACCCGACTGAATAATACAATCACTTGAGGAGTTTTTGAAAATACAAAATCCAAAATCTGAATCTCTGAGGAATAGGACTGACAAGCTATATTTTAAAAAATCTCTCTAGATGACTGTAAATCATAGTTAAGGACCACTGCTTTTTATCAAACTGGATTAAGATTAAATATTCTCTATAATTTCTCATATCTGTGTTAGCTCCTGATAGTTCTGCCTGAAATGTCATTTCCACCTCTCTGTCTGTCACCTGTTTTTTTTTTAAATATAAGGTCTTACAAAATTCTAGTTAACTTTATTCCTTTCGATATCTCCAATACATATCAGCTGATATGATTTATCAGAGTCTCCTTAGTGTTTATTTGAATTATTATCTTATCTTCCATACTTTATTTCTTATTATTTGAGCATAGGGATCACACCTATTTACTTTTATTTCATGAAAATACCAAATACAAAACTTTTCATGTAGTAAATGATCAAAATAGTCTGTTTAACTACTACTGAATACATCCAAATTGTGAAAACATTTTGAAAATTGATAAAATTTCTATAATAGCATAATATTTATAAATGACATAATAAAATTAGTACACGCACACAATTACATAATTTATGAACTTAAGAATCAATGACTTTGAAAATTCAAATTCATACTTCTAAACATTTTGAATTTAAAACTTTTAAAAAGTCATAAGAGTTCTATTAAAGCAAAATGAGAGTTTTGTAAAGATTTCCTATTCTGAACAATATTTAAATTAAAAACAATTTCAACTGTCATATAAAAGGTTTCCAGGTAGATGGTCCA